TTTTAATGCAAAGATGACATTGTTTGAGATGTCTTTGTTATGGGCTATGGTTAGGGGTAAGGGTAAGGGTATGGTTAGGTTAGGGTTAGGTCAAATAATGTCATATTTGCATTAAAAATGACATAACTGAGTGAATGACACTTAATGACAGTTGTCATAAACATGCATAAAACCTCCTTCATAATCATGACATGTGTCATGTCTTGATTATGAAGGTGTCATGTCAGTCTTATGCACACCCCTTCAAGTAAAGTGTTACCAATTGTTTTTCTGTTAGCTGCACAATACATTATAGAAAGGGAGGATTTGGGGTGGAATAAACACAAAAACACAACAAAAACTAACACACACACACACAAAAAGCAAAAAAGCAAAAAAAAAAAAAAGAAAAACATAAACCCTAAAAATATATTTTTGATTATTTAATAAACAGTTATAAATTAGCATACTTACCGTAATGTTACGTTCAAAAGCAACATTCCTGAACACATTATAGTCTGTATAGGCCTGTTGTATGGAAGCTCCACAGTCTATAGGCATCTCAAGCAGGAATACGTCATGCCACTCCTGACCATAATGAATCACTGCTGAATGGATCGAAGTGCCAGAAATTGCTGACATTATGAAGCATGGCGTGCTCCTGGCGAGTAAATCTCACAGAGCTTCAAAATAAATGACCAACCACAAATGACCAACCTACAGGAACAAACTCACTCCCTCTCTCTTCCTCATTCTCAATCAAACAGTCAGTCAATCATACACACATTTAGAAACACATCTGTTTCTGGATGAAACCACGCAGATGTTTTGCATCTCGCCATTTATTTCACAGGTTTTAGATGTTGCGCTGTGACTCTGAGGGCTTCTGTTTACAAGCTTTGAAGGAGATTTTCATCATAACACAAACATGAATTATGGCGCTCCCTCCTGAGAAGAAATGCATATACTAACAGACAGATGTACACTGATTTATTAAAAAAAAAAACAATGTGACTCTCCCTAGCTCAACTATATGACCAAGCAGGGGATTCAGACAAGACATAAACCTCTGCAAAATAATAAGGCATGTTTATCTTGAAGGGGAAAAGGCAACATGGGATATTATGCACTACAATTCCTTAAAAGTTGTTTAATTAAACTAAAAAAATAGTATAATATGGATGCAGCTCCCATTAATAGTAACAGTGTAATAAATTACACTTTATTTGATCTTTTTAACAGCCTTTTTGTCATAAAATACACAAACCTTTCTGTGGGTGCCTGAATTCCACTCTAGGTTTCTATCTCACTGTAATAGTATGGTAATGAGCCTTCATTTTAAGCACAATATGAGGTTATGAGACAGCAACTTGTATCAAGCATGATGGGCTTGAAAGTCAATCCCTAATCATGTAATACAATGTTATATTACAGTAATTAAAGAAGCCTGTTTTTACCTTGGGTCCCATCATCATCAGCATCATTGTTTGAGCTCCACACTGACTTGAGGCAAAATCTTAAGTAACTGCTGACCTTAAAAATCAGAGTAATAGCTTTGTAATTGATAATGTCAAATTATCACATGATTCACACTTTTTCCCTCCCTCCAAACAACCATTTTGTGCATTCATTAGTGTGGAATGCTTTCCAGACTTTCAGAAGAATATCAAAGGTCACACTACATAATGTCAGCCAGAGTACATGAGCTGTACATAGAGGGAGCGTTTCAGAAGTGCTGTGTGAAAGTCATTGGAGTGGAGTGAACTCAGGCAGGGCCGGGCTGGAACAGAATGTGACTGATTGACTGTGATCTGCAGACGATCTTTCATGTGCTTTGAAGGCAGGGGGAGGGGTCTCACTATACCTAGACCGGCTAAAATTGATATGATGGGTTTCCCCTTTCTAGATGAGCAGCTTTCTCTCTCCTTTTCTGTTTCTTTTAATGCTCTACCTTCGGCAAGTACCCCCGTTTATCTCTCATCACAGCCGGACTCTTTTTTAATCTGCAGGCACTTGTGTTTATCTACTTTATTTAATATGTGCACATACAGAGGCTTTCAGTTGACCAAAAGGTCTGCCTCATTGCATGGGCTACTTCATACTCCACATTTAAAAAAAAAAAGCCTTTAACTGTGCTGTGGATCGCATACTAAAATAATAT